AAAAATCACGAATCACATCCACTAGAACACGTGTGTTCTAGTTTGTTTACAGGAATTCTGGCTCGACCATAGTGCTGAGGACTCAACAGTTGGAATCACTGCTTGTGAATGTTTCGGGAAGGTCAAGCAGCATTGTAGGACGAAGAAAAGAGATGAGTTTATCACCTACATCAACTCCTCTCGAGACGGCAAGTCAAGCAATGTGGGGATATCACCTCGCCCGGTGAAGAAACGTTTGCAAAAAGGTTACCAAGCTCGGCGAACAGGTGGAATTTTTCTATTATTTTCTATAGTTCTGCCGACAGCACCCATTTTCTAACTACTCAAGGTTTCCATAGTTTTTTACGAAATACGACCACAGTTTAACCAATACAACTCCCTGTTTGTACTCAGTCACACATTTGGACCTTATTTGACTTGTTTTCATCGGATTTTAGTTCATCTATTACAAGGAAGACTCCACACTGGCTTTGGCGAATTTAACCATGCATCCGCATATTTCATTACCTATTTTGTCCTAACTGTTGTTTGTATAGCCACAGGAGATAAGAAATCCATAGGTTGTATACCTCTGGACTACCAGTCTGCCTCTTTGACTATATTTCCCGTCTCCACCTTCTTCGTATACCGGAGACCATCGGGTTGTCCCAAGCATTTACTAGTATGGCTTACCGATTCATTCTTTGAACGAACCCAATGCACTCGGATGGTTCGGAAGAAAAACAAACCATTGGTGAACACCTTCGGGATACTCCAAAATGCGATTCCTTAACCATAGTTATTTTGTCTGCCGAAACCCCTGCTTCTTTCTTCAAATACCTTGACGGTATGAATTTTATATCAGATCATCTCCAATTCATCTGAACTTCCACAATTTTCTGACAACTTGAATATCATTCAAGAATTTCCCCCTACCGCTGGTTTCGCTCAGTTAGTTCCACAAAGTCTTTTAATCGTCTCCTCGCGTTATAGCGTTCTTCTTTCGTATATGCTCCGGAGTCAGTTAGCTGTGCACCCGTATCCCAGATAAATTGTATCAGACACCTGTGTTTTTTATTGATGCTAACCTTCATTCAACATATCATCAGTGAACTTGGACGGTTTTCTTCCCATATGCGTAAATAGTAGCATGTTCGAATTCAACTGTCGATCATCTCCAAATTCGTGCACCAATTACTCCGACGTGGACTGACCATCACTAGTCAGGTCACTTCACTCCCTTCTGATGACCAGTCCCATTGTGTTTTCTCACACAATAAAAATATATTGTACCACTACGTTATCCTCTTCAATACGTGTTCTGTCAAGAAAACAAGCAGGTTTTCGAGAATTTTCGTAAACTTTCAGCGACCTTCCTATTTTTTCTCTACCCTGTGCGATTCTGACTGGAATTTGGGCACTGGGCCTATAGAAGTAACAAGTACGATGTAATGCATAACATCCATAGTCAAAGTCAAAGTCAAAGTTTTATTATGGGTATTACTTACAAGCAGATGCTTTTCTTGTACCATAGGGTGTTTACACGAGTTGAATTGTGACAATGATGAACAAAATTCCATATGCTGCGCACCACTAAAGCAAGCATTCGACTAATAATTAGAAAATAAGGGTCAAAATTCATCAAATACACTCAAAGGCGGTTGGGGTAGGAATTGAACTACATCACACGGGTACACCTATCTGTGTCCCGTTGTTTATGAGGTCAAACTGTTCCGTAATGACGAGGAATGCTTGCTTTGGTTTTACACGAGTTTTACGGTCAAACGAATGACTGACTTCATGAATCGTTCTTGGCATCCAGCGCAGAGTTCCTCGAGACTTGTTCGGATATTCTAAAACACGATCTACCTACCCACTTCTGGTACACTTGATACGGCAAGTGTATTGGAAACGGTGCACACTTGAATGGGTAAACAGAGGTTTCGACTGGTGCATATTGAATTACATAATCATTCATCCGATTTCATCGGTAACATTTCGCAAAGTGATCCGGGGTTTCTTTGGCACCGTGTAAATTGGGTCAATGATGAAAATTCAAGCACTGAATGGTTAAATGAACAATTAGAAAGGATCTTCGGTTGATAATGTTTCTCTGAAGTACTTTGCATATCTCGCCTTAAGTCCTCGTCTTTGTCACGTTTTTGATGATAAATTCCCTGTTTGACAAACGGTCTTGAATACTGAAGACCATTCTTTTCCGCATATAAGCCCTATAAAATGATCCATTCAAAGGGACCAGGTGGTGCTGAGCACATTTGATGAGGTAACACAAATCACTTGAATTAATTTTACACTCAGACGAAAGAAGCCTGTCCGCGTTCTTACTTAATCATCTCATTATTATGGCATTCGGTCTGCGGGAAGTAGTTTCAACGGTGGACAACAGAATTCCTTGGACTTAGAGAATTGAAAACACAATTAAGAAGCTAAACTAAATGTGCAATGAGGATATCGACCGTGAAGTCCTTCTACTTAATTGCCTCCAACCCCACATATCACTCGTCTCCTTAGTTACCATATGCTGTGGTATCCAGTTCCGCAATTGACGAGCCCACAACGAAAGTCAGTTACGTCAATTTCGCTAATATTGTTTCGGGGCTAAGGTGGAAATGGTTAATAGCAGGCGTCGAATTACCGACGAAAATTATAGTTATTTGTAATTAATCTCCAAAATAGGGAGAAACGTATCTAACTGATTGTATCGGTTTTGATGGAAAAGAAAAAGAGCTATAGGAATCCGGCTATTTGTCCTTCTTCACTGATGGACCAAATGATAACGCCATTCCCGGTGGTTTCACATATACAAATGCTCGCAAACTGGTGACGTAATGAACTTTCATGTCGACCTTGACCGTTTTGTGAATACCTAATCAGCAACCGGAGGCGCTACTTGGCTAATTTTGCTTACAGTGCAGCTGATTGTGTGCTAATGATATTCATTTATATAATTTTATAAGAAATTATGCGTATATTTAACTCATTTCGCATCATGGCCGATGCGGAAACACACTTACACGTCCTTGCCATGGATCCTCAATGATCAGTTCATAATTGCCCCATTTTTTGACAATTTTCAATTCATAATATCGCGGACGGAAACGTTCCTGTTTGTTTAACAGATCGATCGCCTCACTGGTGTGCAACGGGACACAGGTGGGCAGTACCGTGAATGATTTCAGATGCTGTACCGAGTACCGCGAACTGACTGTGGATGTGTACATGTGTCGGGGATCTTCAATCAGCGGTCTGTTTGATCAGGGGATGGGGTGGGGAGTGGGAAAACATTTGGCACAACTTGAACATGAATACCAGAATGTAAAGAAACGTGGAATGCATGAAATTTCCGAAACGAAAACAACTGTCTGCGTGTCTGTGTGAAGGGAAAATAGAAACCTCTCAGCCGAAATTATATGTTTTTCAACTTAGGACCGCGTTCAGGAGAGACGGAGATCCTCGAATACGTCATGATGTCACCAGAACAAAATTAGATAGATTTTTGAGGTACTACNATAATAGTGCGGTTGCCGGTTTCTTTCAACGATCAAGAATTAACAAGACTACTGAGGGCTTGTTGCTGTGCCTCAAAGAATAGCCACCGACTGTTCCATTCAATACCCGGTGTGCTGCCGAGAACTGCGATGATATGTTTCAAATGAGATTTCTGTTATGCATATGCTTAATTAGTGATATCCTAACTGTGATCCGCATTGAACGATTTCCTTTGATTGAGCACCGCTTTGTGGTGATTACGACAGAAGTACTGACGGATACAGTTTAGTTTCTGATATGGGCAGCTTACAGTCTTCTGGCAGGATGTCAAACTATAGTTCATAACGAATATTACGCAGCACACAGGCTCAGTGTTATTGGGCAAAATAGAACGGAATCACGGCCAAATAATCCATTCAAAAAAAAACAGAAAGGGTTTGCATTTGATTTCCTTTGACGATTTCTTGATCGCATGAGTTCATATTGACAATTCTAAAACAATCATTTAAGGATAACTCTAGATAAACGGCGCACTATTCCATCGTTCAACTCGTTTCTGAGCGCACAATGAAATGCACGTTGCATACTGCTGATAAAATATGCAGTTCTCATCGCTACGAGAGAGAAAGGACCAGGCTGCTGGAGAAATCACCTGATTGATTGCCCAATAGATCAAGTGTTACTATCAGTTCAGTTCAGTTCAGTTTGCGTGTAACCATTCACGATACATTTTCGTGTACCGGTTTTGGTTGCTGTCTTTTGGCTGTCCATTTGGATGAAGCAGAAAAGGAAAAAACAGGAAAGTTGAAGCAGAGTCAAAGAGAAAATGGAGAAGTTCAGTAGACTCAGGTTTTAGTGTCATTCGGAGAAATATCGTTAATTTCGAAAAGTTTAATTCTCGCCAAAACACAAATTCAAGTTTTCCGTTTAGGGTGCGACGCACAGCAACCTTAGCTGGATATGATTTCTTTCCAGTACGTTCATTGTCTTAAAACCGTAAGGTTTGGATCTCCGTCATTTGATCTGTATGCCCATTTAGATTATTCTGCGATATCCAACTCTATGAAAGCAAATCGTTTCCCGAAAAACATAAACCCTCCCCTGCACACTCGTTGCAACCTGCTGCTGACACTCTTCTAACCAGATGAAACAGAATTGCAAAGTAGTTGCAGAGTTTATTACACTCCAGTTTGAAGCAACGGCCAGCAACTGCAGGTGATTTTCTCAAACTGATGTGCCCATATCTGACAGTGCATACCGTAATGACCAAGCCAGTTGCGCAACAAAATTGATATTGCGTAATCTTATTTAAACACCTGAAATTCCAATCTAGCAAGCAGACTGCAGTGACAACACCTTTCCAATTCAAATTTACAAAAACCGAAGATAAGGAAGGAAAAAAGTAAGAACACTGATATCAGTACCATCGACCAAATAGCCTTAGAACTGTAACTGGAATCAGCCTAAAATGTGTTGTATGACAGACGAGTATGTGATCGAGTTCTTCCTCGATTACACTGATTGCATCAACCATATATTACGTTTTGGTGACCAAAGTTGTACAATGTAATAAAAAACAGATTATATCATCATATCTAACTGCAAATCATCTTTCGGGAATTTAAGTGAAGCATTGACCCAGAGCAAATTATATTAGCGAACGATTGTTGTAAATATTCAGCTCTATGAAAGCCGTGAATTGATTTGGTGATTTTTGGTCGGGTACAACGATCAATCAGTTGGTGACCATAAAGCTAAACAGTTTTTGATCTCCTACGGTGAGAAAGTCCATACTCACTATTTCGGAGTAATTGATTAAACAACGTTATCTCGTTGATCCAAAGTGAAAATTACCGAAATTCGAATGGACTTTGGCTGAGACCGTTGCGCTTCGCATCCCGTTGCATGAACAACACATAGGTATTCAAATACGATTACGTCGTAATAGCTTAGAATGCTAATCCAAGGCGATTCAGTAGTACCTGTTACATACTATGGATAAACCAGTCTTGTTTCTTTCATTCAAAGAGCAGGCTGGTGAAAATGAATAATTTTTTCCAGTTTTCTGCAAAGATCCCAACAAAAGTACTTGTCCACAAGCTGAGTTAAGAACCTGAAGTCAGATGGCTTTGGTAGTTGATCTGCCCTGCAACAGCATGTACCCGTACCATGGGGGTATCAGTTATCATTACTTATTCTCAAATCAGTTTTTGTATCAACTCAAGCAGCACCGGAAGGAAGTTGATGCTGTCTTTATGTTGCTACTGGAGAAAACGTTCTGCAACACTGGTAATCTTAATTTCGGCTTTCTTGGTGCGCAAGGAATTTGCGTATCCCCTTACAGTCCCCGGACCTAACGCCAATAATTATAGCATGTACACCAACAATGTTTCCAACTTGCTAGTTTAACTCTTGTACCCAATTCAGAGTCAGGGAGATACTGTTTCACAGTGAATAACAGTTTCCATGGTCACATAGGAAAGGAATTCCGTTTTTTGAGACTATCAATGAAATACCTATCAATATGTAGGGCAAGTTCTGAAAGGAACCCTCATGGATGTCACTAACGCGAAACCCATTGGTGCACGTCGTGAATTCTTCTGCGTTTTGCGCAGTGTATTTGAAAGTCACCGCATAATTAGCTGCATAAAGTCATATCTGCATCTAAAAGCAACGCGTCACCACTAAAATCTTATAGCTCCAGATTACTTCTCATCATATCATTTTCTTCAGCACAACCAGAGGAAACACAGGTAGGCTGAGAAAGCAACCTCTTACCTTATTCTTTATGCAGAATCGAATCCCCTCTATCCAGTTCATCAATACGGAAAGAAGACAAATGTAGCGAGTTGTTAACATTTCATTTAATCTTCTCAATCGCTGACTTAAAACAAACAGGCATATATATATATATATATATGTATAGAACACAGAAGTTTGATCAGTTATGGTGAATGAATGCGTGCAAGCAAACGCAGAAGGGCAACTCTTACATTAAGCTACCTAAAGTTTGCGTTCAAAGTTGACCACATTTACAATGATATGCTCCAGAAGTTGAGGTCAATTCTAGACCGTACATTCATAGCTGCTCAACTCAGATTCATTGCCTCCATTCGTGGAATACATTTGGACAAAACTAAACCTGGCTGGTAAACCAGTTCCGTCTCACACACGACATACCAGTTCATCTGCAGTTGTGGTGATGCATTCATAGGCAGAACAAACCGTCAGCTCTCAAAAAGAATGACTAAACATATTTCAAAATGGTTGGTTAAATTGATA